TTCACCACAGCACCCCAGGATATTCTCATGAGCAGCATTTTTGCTTTTACAGCAAATTTCACATGAACAAAAAAAAAAAAAAACAAACCAGCCCCACAACCAATCAGGGTCTCTGCATAACTCAGCTGAAAGGATTACTGGAGGTCCACTACTTCCACTTCTCTTTGCACTAGCCATCTTTTCCACAGCACAGTTCCAGGAGCGCAGGAGCTGAAGACTGCTTTCCTATGCATTTATGCCTGTGATCCATTGCCTCTGTGTCTAAGGTACAAGCTCCAATTGAAGCTGGTCTCATGCCTGGAAACTTACATCTCTCCTTTACTTGGGTTACTAGATATCAGTACAGAACATAGTTTTCTTCTGACCTCTCTCTCACCTTTACACTTAACAACAACAAAATCTAAAAATGTAGCGACTGTGAAGTCTGGCAGATTGGGTTGAAATTAATCAGCTGTTTGAAGCTGAATGACAGAACGAGCATGTGCCGTGCTTCCCGAGGAAGGGCAGTGCCTCCTGCACTCAAGCCTGGTTAGTTTTACCACCTCTTTTTTGGTGGTAAAGCCACTGTGAACTTAATTAATCCTCCAGTTACTCAAGTTATTTTTTCTAAAATGCAATGTCTCGAGATGGCAATTTTTTAAAAAAACACCCACATTGAATATTTGTCAGAGTACAAAATAAGCCATTATTCTATTTTGTCAGAAGAATCACAATTTAGAGGAAAAAGCACTTTCCTCTTATACCTTTCAAAACAAAGCAGAGACACAAAAGCAAAACATGTTACTGGGCTTCAATTAAAACAACTAACTGTTCAACAATGTGATCTTAAACTTCAGTCAGCTGAAGTTCAGCTTATTGAACAACAACAAAAAAAAAAAAATAAAAAAAAATTCCAACACCTAGTACTTTCCGTATCTAGCATTTCTCTCAATAACCATCTCCAACACAGAGAAGTGAATTTGTTACAAGTACTCTTTTTCTCCCGAGTAGTAAAGGCAGGATTTATTAGGAACCTACCTGCTCTCCCCTTTAGAAGTCCAGTTTTGGAAGCTTGCACAACCTGAGGTTGAAGTTAAATTACATTTTCTTGGTCTCCAACCCTCGTCTGTAATCGGCATGTGAAAAATACAACACACTGTTTCTTTGTGGTAACATTTTAGTATTGCAGTAGATACTTGCCACTTCCCACATGCTCCTAGGGGACTTCCAAACACAGCAGACAGGTGGATACAATTTATTTTTAATTCATTTTGCAAAAAGTCATGTATTCACCTGTATCTTCAATTATTCTTCCCTAAAAAGATGACGGTTGAAATTACTGGATGTTTACTCTGCAATGGAAAATTGCCTCAAGCTTTGTATTCTCCTGTTGACATTCTTGTCATGCATCAACATTTACCACAATAATTCTTCAGAAAACACTCATTTTTGGGGAATCTTGGTTAAGCAAATATTGCTTTTGTTTCTGTTATTTTAAAGAGCTACCATACAAACTTATGAAAATCATATCAGATAATTAAATTTTAGGATTTTTCACTGACTCTTAAAAGTCAATTCACTACAGACATCTGAAGTCCCTCCTGACAACTTGAATTATTCAGCAGCATTTCATCTCTTCATGGCACTTCCTAGAAAAAAATAAGAAAATTTATCTCAACTGTCAGCTTTGCAAGAAACACCAAATGGAGTTTACACAATCCTCATGAAAGCTCGTAGTTGCATGAACCAAATGACAGAAATACCTATTTTCCCAAGATGTCCATTTCATTTATTTTGGAACTTGGTGGTTTTGTACTTTTGGTATTAGTCACTCAGTGTGAAATCACACTCATTTAAGAGTTGATGAGCAATCAAAATTTGTCATGATCAGTTATGGGGTTTTTGTGTAAGGGACTATACATCCTAAGCCTGAGACATAATCACACTTTCACTTTGAACAGAAGTCACTTTTGAAAGCAGTTTTATTTGCCTTAATTCTAGATGTCAGCAAATAAATGGCTTTTTTTTCATTCTAGCTTTTTACAAGTTTCTTTAGTTATATGGGAATATGGAATAAGTTGCAGAACTGCAGAGCAGTCATACACTCAAATCAATATTCTGAGGCACATCGTAATGGTCTGATAATTACAATATGAAACTACATTATCAGTCCATTTACAATAATGCTTTTTAAAATGCCTCCTAAAGCAGTCCAGACATACCCGAGACCTCAAAACCAGTCTAAGGACAGCTCTGAAAAATGGTAAGTTTTTTTCCTGGTGAGTGCACAGACTCACATGTGAATCCCTAACCTGTTCTAGGCTGAAACCCCTCACCGCTGCTCCTCTCAGCCAGTCTTGAAAGGTACTTTTCATCATCATCATCAAGAAACAATTCCTTCTTCAATTACCAAATTTGTCCTTTAGGCAAATATGGCTCCTTTCCTAGAGACAGGCATAATCTTTTGCCAGACAAACTCACAGAGCTGCGGAAGAGAGATCGGATTAAAAAAAACAACAGACACCAAAGCAAGCAGGGAACCCATCAGCAAGACAGGTTTTCATGCACACAAGCCATTATAGATGCAACCTGGATCCTCATGCTTCTTGCCTTTGCTGAATGCCCAAGCTCCAGAAGCTCTATGCCTATGTATTTTCTGGAAGGAGAAATAAAGCCACAGACACAGAGGTGGAAGGGGACAGATATTCATGGTTACCTGGGAAAGAAGCAGATATGATGTTAGCTTTTTGCTTGAAAGTACTTTCTTTTGTGCAAGTCTGCAGCCGAGTTACGTCATTCAGACTGACAGCCTGGTTTCAGACACGGCGTTGGCTGCTGTGCAAGTTTCATGACTGTTCCCTAGGAGCACATAAAAGAAAAAAAGCTGCTAGAAGTGGTAGAGAAATCTGACAAAAGCCTTTCCTGTTTTAATAGAGGCTAAATTGTTTCCCATTTATACACAGAAATTAAGAAAATCACGACCGCCAAGTATCACCTCTTGCCATTTGTGGTAACAGTTCACAAAATAAGTAATTTAAAATTCACCATCTTACAGGCACATGATCATTTCTGATGTCTCTTGGTATATCAAGAGAAATTATAGAGGGGAAATAGACAGTATTAACCTTTAAGTGCTGCATATTTAATGAAGACCTCTTTGGACTAACAAAGAAAGAATTCGAGTTTCAAACTAAAGCACTTTTTTTTTTTAAGTTTAAACAGGAGAAGTGAAGGTACTCAGCAGGAGCAGCCAAATCAGACTGGGACACCCCAACAAAGCAGCAGGGAGACAAGCTGATTTTCCTCTGCCTGGTCCTTGTAAAATCAGACCAGTTCTAGGCACACATCTGTTCTGTACAGTGACTGTGCAAGTTTCAGCAACACAAATTCATCTACCTGCTGAAGACTTGAGCCAAGATACCAGGCATGTAAAAGCACATAAGACTTGGCATAAGCTGTAAGAATGTAATAAAACAGGATATATGTATTTTTGTTTAAATGCTTAGCTGCATAAATGCATACTTACCTAATATCTTTCCCATTAAGCCAAGCAGTCTCTGGAAATTGCTCTAACTAGGCATGGCTTCCTCAGTGAAGGAAAGCACCCACCTAGATGCTTGCTACATATATCTATGAGATAGAGATACATAGGTATACACACACACACACACACACACATTTGATATATACAGTTTAAGAGTTATGAGCAAATTACACTAATTTCTACTTGTAACATTGAGACTGATGCACAATAAGAAGGTTGGGGAGAGCATCTTTTAAAATATCTTAACAGGCAGTGTTGCTCATCTAATGCAAATGGGCAGGCTGAGGGGAACTCATACAGTTGTACCAAACCTGTGGGTTTTCAACCACAGTACAGAGCAGTTTTGGGGAACTTTCCCAGAAGGACAGAAAATATTTAGTTTTTCAACTCAGTGCTGATGTTCCCTTTATAGAACTGTGAAACTGCCTGGCTTTCTGCTTTACTTTACCCTAAGGCATCTACTGTCCAATTCAGTGAACCTATTCATTCACAGAAAAGCGTAATGAAAAATGTCCTGGAGATTTACAATTTTGGAGCAATCTCTGATAATACAACAAACACTGCCAAAAAAAACCAGGCTGTAATTTCACTGTGAGATGTGACATTTCACATCAGTATTTGTACCCTCCTGAAGCAGGAAGTACTACTGTAACACCTTTCAGTTATGAGCCATATCTCAACTGATCAAGAGGTAGTACTGGCTTGTTCCTTTGGGCCAGCTGTATCGTGTGGACTGAACTTGCACATGGCCTGTAGGGTATTTCATCCTTTAATATGAAGTTATTAATCCAGCTTTAACTGAGGAAGCAATGTTTAACTACTACAGCAACCGTGGAATATCTCATGTGAAGTTTAATAAAAGGAGCATGTTCAAATTCCCCAGACTCACATTGACTGCAGAGTCCCATGCGACTGAGGAATATGCATTCAACTATCAAGTCTGAAAAATTCAGCAAAGTGGTACCATTTTTCCCCTAACCAGATGCTTCTAAAGCACTTGTTGAAATCATGAAGCTCAGGGGTCTCCTTTTGTGGAGGTGACGCTGGAATGTCCTTAACATCCCCCCTGCTCCCACTCTCCCCTTTTTAGGGATCTGAGAAGGTGGGAAGGATGTGTAGTAGGTAGGGTTACTTGTGGTGAGGCAGAGCCTGTCAGACACGGGGAGGTGTCCTCTCAGTGCTCAGCAACGCTCGGTTCAGGTCTACAGAGAACAACCGAGTTACTGCCAAATGTCTTCCCCTGGCACCAGCACTGCTAACACCTTCCAGACACCCATCTTTTCCCCCTCCTCTACCGCCCTGCAGGTTCAGAGCTCTTCCCTACTACCAGCTGGTAAAGGTAAACGTTTCTTATTTTGTAACAAACTCATACACTGTATGTGATTATCCCTTTCCACCTGAAAGTTTCATAGGAATAAGCTCAATTCCATACATTCTAAACCAAATGTGAGTACTTGGAAACGAACACCATCCCACGTTGTGTTCTCTTCTGTTATTAAAACAAGCCAAGAGGAAACCCTTGGTAAGAGTGGAGCATATTAATTATGCCAAGATATTGTGACATACCAGTTGAGATTTAAAGGCCGCTAATAACACTTTTTTGTAGTAATTAGTGCAAGATAGTTATCCCATATAAACAAATATTGGATGGTAAACTTCAGTGATAAACAATTCACTTGATGACATTTACATATAAATACACATAAATAAACACCTAAGTAATTTGTAGTTAGCAAAAAGTATGCTCTGAAATGAATTAAATGTAATTTTATCTAGCTGGATTGAAGCTCTTCCTCTAATAGCCATTCAAGTATATGGGGTATGAAAAGCATAAGTACAATTCTCAATTTAGTAAAGTACTACTCTGTAAAACAGAATAATGAAAATGGATCTTACATTTTAATGTAAAGTATAAAATTGTATATTTACATTTACATACACTTAACTGAACTACATTGGGTAGCTCACAGTAAAAAAAAAAACATCCCTTTTTGGAAATCTTTCAAAAAATACATCAACTGCAGATATGATCAAAAGTTACTAAGTTAGCAGCTGAGAGAACATCTGTAGTAAAAATATATTTTAGGAAAATACCTGAAAAAATCTAAACACCAATAAACACTTTAAAACTATTTTTGAAGTAAAAATTGTAGCAAAAACCAGAACAAGCTATCTAGGATAACAGAACTATTGCATATTGCTCTTCGAGAGCCATGGAGCAACTTGGAACAGAAATGGCAGATAAGGTGGGAGCTTTGTGGTGTACCAAAGTGGAAACTGGAGGAAAATAGGAAACCAGTTATCCAGCTTCTATATTTACTACCATTTTTACTGGGAGAAGTGTAAGAAAGATGAGAGAATCCCTCTCACTGAGTGTATCCTCCATCAAAGGCCAAACCAAATTGGTAAAAGGAATCCAATTTCAAGAGCCTTGGACCTCAAACTTAAAAATATTTACTATATGTACTTAGAGTTCAATGGACAATAAATCAGATTATTACACTACAAGTTGCAAGTTAACTTTAAGAGTTAACACTATTTTGCAATATGAAGTGCTTTTTAATATATAGATCTATATAATATATAGCTATTTGTAAAATACACGTGCAGATTTGCTAGACCAAACTGTGGAAATAGCTCTCTCAAGTCTTTTCCCATTAACAGATCGTTATCTCCTGCACAGAGTTTCAGGATTCCACAAGGATTTCCACAATATGATCAAGCTCATTCAGATCAGATTTACAATTTGAGTTAGAAGCCGTAGTTGTTGTAGAAGAAAACGTTTCAAGCCCATCACAGTGTCCCATTTTTGTGTTGCTCATCATGCCTGTTAGCATAGTATCAAGATCATAGTAAGAATTGTCAACTTCTGAAAAGAGATCTTCAACAGAATTAGGACTTTTATTCTCTAGTGTCTCAAATATTTGATCTAATGACTTTTGAAAGTTTCCTTTATTTTCTTGTGGATTCTCCATTTCCCACACATTGCTCTGCAGGTTTCTTGGAGCTTGCACTGAAGAGGCTGTTGACATAGTTTCTGAGCTGTCTTGTGCCTGGCCACCCTCAAAGTCTTTACTGAAAGTACTATAGCCTGGAGCATGCTTTCCCTCAGCTGGTTCCCTAGACGAACGGCAGAGGATATCTGTAGAAACCAGACGGTCCAGCGGCGCCTGCCCTGTACTCTGTGTATTTATCATCTGCCAAGTCCCATCTTGAGTCATTTCCTCTTGGATCTGCCGTACCGTGTTGGCGATAAGCACCGAACGACAAAGGTTGGGCTCTACCAGCATGTGACACAGCTGAAGTTTAACCAAGGACATATCTAGAAGGGACTGCCGCTGCAGATTATATGAAGGAATAGCCTTAATACCAGCCAGAGTTCCTTCAATATCTTCTTCACCATCAAAACACTTTCTCTTCAATCCTCTCACAAACATTGTGTCCTGTTAAAAAAAAAAAATCTTGTACAATGTAAATGCCTCAAGAGGGAGGTGAAAAAAAGGTGTAAAAATCAAACCAGACAACTTTAATCTTAAAACATCAAACTCTTTTAAAATAGAAACATCAGATTTGTCATACCAGGTTACAGAATGGCCCGTGTGGCACAATGCGGGTCAGGAACATACGGACTGGGTCCCAAAGACAGAACTCAGGAACCAGAGGTGAGCAGGTCCACGAGTCATGGCATCTGAAAGAGGCAGGGGCTCCCAGCTCCAGGCTCCCATTAAGCTCCACACTTGATGGAAATCAGGAGCTGCTGCTTCACCCAGAAGCAAATGTCTCGGCGGCTGTATGTCACCTATTGGAGAATCAGTTTCTCCTCACTCCTCCCGAGTTTCTACTGGCATTCTTAACCTCTAATTCTGGAAATAAAAATACAGTCTGGCACACCATCTTTAAAAGATTTCACCTCTCCAGAACATCACTGTGCCTAACAGAGTAACAGGAATAAAATACCACAGGCAGCAGCATACTTGAAAGGTTTAGCTTATTGTGGCTACAGGAAGACTATTTGTTCCATACAGCTTGAGACATTCAGCTGAGGTGCCTAAAGCAGTCCTTCCAGTTCCCTTACTCTGGTGAGTAACTGAATGGTGTAATTCCAACAGGAGTTGTGCAAGTGCACTAAGGATAGGCACAGTCATCCTCTGTATGGGCTTCTGTTCTTCTTTCCCAGTTGACCGTAAAAAACAATTCTGTATTCACAGTTTAGGTTCCCCAGCTAGAATTGGGATGCATGCACGCTTCTCATTTACATCTAAAACTCACTTGCCAAATTTTCCAAGGTGTGCCTTTCAAGCACTACCCTCCAAATCTTCTGAATTGCACAGATTTTGACAACAGTGCCTCATGCAAATACTGCAGCAGATATCTTGAAATACAAAGTAAATTTTTAAAAAGCAGTAGATATTACTTCTTTTAGTCGTACAGAAAGTAAGCAGCAAATGAAAGCTAGTATCTGGTCTTTATGTTTATGCTCATAATCTTTACTATGTCCTTTCTAAGTCTTCTGCACTTAGAATTCCTGTTTGCCCAATATCTTGGGCTTTCAGTAGTGACCTAAACAACACAAAGGTTTTCAAACAAAAAGTTGATAAAACCAAAATATTACTGCAGTGTCTTTCTATAACATTTTTCCTTTCTCTTGGAAAGCCCTAATCTCTGCTTTGCTTTTCTGGTATGTTCCACATATTTTCAGAGCTATCTCTTTCAGCTTTTTCAGAGTCACTAAAAATTCACCAAACTGCAACAACATTGTTACTTTCAAAATACATTACATACTCCTCATCTACTCTGACATGGGGACAACACAGTAGATAGATAAACATTTGGTCTGACTCCATACCACACTTTGTACATTGCTGTATGTATTAATGAAATAACCTCTTTTTTTTTATTATTTGCTGACTTTTAAAGATTTCTTTTTACTGAAGATTCAAAACTCTTTGGAAATCACAGTATGCAGAAATCAATAACATGCAGAGACTACAATACAGAATATATGAACTTAGTCTTATGGTCATTTTTCATAGACTTCTTAAAAGTTATCCACGCCTTACAAATATATTAAATGCTTCAGAAATTTCTTTTAAAATATTTTCCTGTAATCTAACCTAATTTCATTATTGCCATTAAATATAACCCAGGTTATTGCTTTATAGTACCTTTTCCAGATTTTTAGATATTCCTGCAAACTTCCTAGCAGAGGTTATTGCATTTAATTTTTCCTACAAAGTTGTATGTATAGTAATTTCTGAACACATGCACTTGTTGTGAAATTTGACTTCAAGGTACATCTTTTGGGACTATTAATCAACCATGTACGATTATGTCATCAACCATTAAACACTGTGCAGAGTCTGAAGCTTCTTTTATTTCAACTTACATTCTTCTAAAGAATGATTAAAACTTCAATTGAACGTTAACCTGGTTTTCTACACACTTGGGTATGTAGAAACACAGGAAAAAATGTTTAAAAATTCCTAAAGGTAAACCTTTCACAGCATTCACTGGATTTTTTTCCTATAAAACTTACTTCTAATTAGTATCTTATAAAAGTAGTTCTTTGTCACCATCTTCCTGAGACTGCACAAAATACCAGATTACAATTTCATTGAAGAAGCAAAAAATGACATACCAGTAATTGTGTTTGATGTAGTCCTTCCTCTTCTCCCATGCTACTGAGCAAGAGTCCATACAGTAAAAGTTAAGAGCACCACCTACCAAGTACCAGGAAGCAACATGTCAGGCAAGTGCAGGATATGCAGAACAGAAGTTTCCCATTTCAGAAACTTGCATACCTCTGTATTTTATGAATTGCTTCATTACCTCTAGCCCCATGACACTCCTACAAACTCGTATAGTACTATTAAACCAAATTTACATCTAGAGCACAAAGGCAATTTGCCCAACAATGTCCGCAAAATGTGTGGCAGAAGGAACCTGCCAGTTTAAGTCCAAGTCCTAGGCTATCACCCTGACCTTTGACCCAGCCTCTCCCTTATCCCTACACCTCTGCCTTTTAAAGAACAAATAAAAATCTTCAGTGCACACCTGAAAACTTGAAGGGTGCCGAGGCACCCAGGCAGCAAGGTCACCCTGCGCTGCTTGGGTCACAGCGCTACACAGCTGTACCTTTGTTAGACAACACCTTTATCTCTGGCACCTACAGAAAGAGCCAGCGTGCAAAAATACAAAACTGAAACATGGCAAAACCAGAGACAATTTCCTTTACCAGCACAAAAACTTTATGACTAAGATTTACTTTGCAAGATGACAATAATGAAAGTAATGACAGTAATTAAATTCGTTTAACTATAAAGGCTGAGTTTTTAAAACACATTTAAGGCAAACTAAGATTTGATATAACAAATACAACTACCAATACATGCAACAATTCATTACTTAAACCAGAAAGAATGCTCCATTTCAACAGGCTACAAAAACTTATATGATAAAATATGAGAACAATTCAGATACTTTTCTAGGCATGTCTGTACAGTGCAAGACAGTTCAGCGTCTGCAACTGAACCACATACCTAGAAAAGAAATAAGTAAAGAGGATGCATGTGGACATCTATTTTTGTTTTACTTTGTGTATAGTAATAAGTAATTTTTGAAGAGTGTTTGCTCTCAAAATTATGGGGGGAAGGAGATGGTTGACAAAGGACTTGGGGGGGGCAGAAAATATTTTTGTCAAGAAGCTACATATTACAACAACAAAAAAACCCAAACACCTTAAACACTCCCAAGCCAAAATCTTTTGACTTGATCCCAAAATATTCAGACTAAAATCCTGTTCTGTCACGGAAACCATATTTCAACCAGCTCAGTCTCATTCTCTTCCACAAACTGAGCTTACAGCAACGTAGAAGACAAGGTCACGAGGCATATGAACTAAAGCTCCAATGAGACACCATAATATCAAGTCAATAAAGTATATCTTATTTTTGTCAAACACCTTATGATGCTATAAGAAGTTCAGAAGTTTTTGCTCCCCAGGTATACTTTCAAAACATTCTATAAATGAAGAGCTATCTCTTGGAAAGCCTGTACACGGTAACCTTTTGAATTCCCAAATTCCTACTTAAGTTTAGGGTAGGTGACAAGGGCACAAACTTTAAAAAACCAAAACGAACCCAAAACCCACAAAAAACTCGCCCCAACAGCTACAGGTAAAGGTGATGCAGTCATGAGAAAAAGAAAATATTTTCTGGTGCTGTTTTTATCTGACAATTATTGGGCGAAGCAACTTTGGCCCTTTGCCTCCACAAGCAGCACTGATATTGGGGACCACTGATGGGAGCTTTTGGTAGAAGAGCCATTATCATGTCCACAAACTAAAAGATGCAGAGAACGTCGGCAGACCAGTCCATTCTGTCCTCTATTAACATACTGAAGGAGGAAGGTTTTCCCATGTAATATAATAACATGTAAGACCTGATGCATGTGATTCTGGGTTCTTCCCTAGAGCAATAACCAAACTGTGTGGACCTCTGTCAGTAAAACCTTGAAGAATATGCCTACCACAGCCATTACTTCTTCAGATTCCATTAACTGGCATATGAGCGTGCTTCAGAACCCAAGTTCCCAGTAAAAAAATGATCTTCATTGTCATTATCAGATGCAATTACAACATTGCAAATAAATGACCTCCCCCAGACTTCTCTGCACTATCTCCAAAAGCACTCAAGAGAATGCTAAATTTAAAACCCAATTAATTAAAATGTAACTATGTTTCTCTATTGATTTACATATTAACGTACTCAAAAAGACATTAGCCATTGTGTAAAACCTCTTGGTACATGAGAGCAAGACTGCTGCTGCTTTAGAGTCAAGGTGTTCAAAATCCCCAGGTAATTTTAAGCAGCATTTGGCTCTGTTCAAGCTGTACAAAAACAAGCTGTTGAGGAGACAACAGCTATCTGCAGCACAATACAGCAGAAAAAAAGAGTTTTGTAGGTTTGGGTGTTTTAGCACAGTACTACGTAATTCATGAAAGTTTTACTTTGGGGATTGACAATTTCTCAGTCTGCTTTACAAGTAAGCTGCGTGAAATTCGATCAAATTCTTACTAGAGAGTCAAATTAAATATTCTAAATTCACAGTCAGTTCAGATTCGTGTAGTAACATGCTGCCAAAGATACACTTCAGTACTTAAGGGAAAAAGCCACTTCCAACAAACTGGCGTTACAGGCAAGATAGGAAATTTTAGCACTGTTCACTTTCAGGAAAAAGCAGACAAGATCTACCCAGGCCAGTGCTGGCCGGTTCACTTAAGGAAGGTGCTGCCTCTTTTTGTGTCTTTAAGTACAGTGATAATGGTTAGAATGGTTAAGTAAGAAGATACTACATCTCCTCTCTACCGCTCCAATCCCTCCCAGTCCAAAACTGTTCTTCGTAACAGCTGTGAGAAGAAGCCAAACCTATGTGTAATGGTGAAAAGAAGACGAAAGCCAGGTGCTCATCTACACATGCATATGCGTGCGGATGGTGGTGTGGAGTTATAAAGTGGGCTGCAGACCCAGCAGAGGACTGGCAGGACCAGAAACTTCCCTATTCTGACCGGGACAAAGGCATCTGTAAAGCACTGGGGTTCGGTCCACCTCTGGGAGCAGGGGGCTGGCAGGCACCTCTCCAGGACACGACGGCCTCGGGAATGGCACCAGCTCCCGAGGAAAGGACAAGCTGGGAAGGCGGGGCGAAGGGCAGAGAGCTTCTGCAAACCGGGAGGAGGCCGGCGGCGAGGTGGCGGAGCCGGGGGAAGGAGGAGGGGGCGGCCCGGCAGAACCGGCGGGGAGAGGCGGGACCGGCGGGCACAGCCGAGGCG